CGTTGGCGGGGGAGAAGGATAGGCGAGAGGGACGAAGAAGTGAGGTAAAGACTGTGTTAGATAACTAGATGAGAAGGGAGAAATAGAAAGGGTAGGGGATAGAGGAAGAGAAAAGAGGACAAGGGGCAGGAAAAAGGACGGAGAACAGGGAGAATATGAAGAGAAAATGTCAAAGAAACAAGAACTAGTAAGCAGAGAGATAAAAGAGATGGGAAGAGAGGCTGGGGGGGAGAGAGAGAGAGAGAGATAGTGAAAGGGGGGAGTGAGTGAAGAAACGAAGAAGGAATGGGGGACAAGGTAAAATAGAAATGAGAAGGACAGAAGTTAGATAATAGTTAAGGGGGATGGATAGAAGAATTTGGACAAGAATAGAGAATTGGGGGAGGGGGAGGATAGAGACTAGACAAGAGATAAGGAGGTGAAGCTTAGAAGAAAGATATGGAAAGAGGAGACGGGCGAGTAGGATAGAAGAGAGAGACAGGACGCAGAGGTTAAAGGAGAGGGAAGGACTAGAGAGAGAGAGAGAGAGGAGGCTTGTTGGATGTGAAAAGGTTACTCAGAAACCCTCATAGTGTTCAACAAGGAAGGATAGAAAGGGGTGAGCGAGGGTGAGAGATAAAGAATGAGTAAGCAGTCTACTTGAAAATTCTCCATGTTGCAGTAGCCGGGTTTGCTATCCTGAATAATTAAAAACACTGAAAAGGTGACAAAATACAAGTTATTTCACATCACGTCAAGCTCAATCTCGGTCTCTGCACCTGGCTAGTTTGCGTTACCTTAGCTTGAAAGACATCCAATTTCCAACCTTAGTTTAAGAGAACATAAAGACTAAAACCCCTATTGCTAATAATAGACCCAGCATCCATCAAGACACTCTAACCTTTAGAACACCTAAGCAGAAGGGCGAAGATCAGATGCGCGCACTCTCAGCTGGCACGAGTCCAACACTGTAGTCAAGGCAAAATATGTGCACAGCTTTACTTCAAACTTTATCCTATGTATAATATAGAAGAAAAAAACTAATTATTATATAGAACCATTAGTTCACCGTAAAACAACTTAAAACAAAAAAGATAGAGAACGAAAGGGTTTCTAAAAAAAATCGTTTATTTATATGCCGTATACTAGGAAGTCCCTCCAGACGTCAGAAGACATTTCCTGGTATTTTCTAGTTGTTCTCTTATTATCCAGTTTTCTTTGTGTTTCTTATTCTCCTTTGTAAGAGATGAATGTGAATTTAGGGAGAGGGGAGAGAGAGAGGGGAGGTAAGAGGAAAGACAGACAGACAGAAAGTAGACAGAGAGAGGGGGGAGAGACCGACAGACAGACAGACAGAGAGACAGATGAGGGGTTGAGAGACAGACAGACAGAAAGAAAGTAGACAGAGAGAGAGGGAGAGAGGAACATGTGACATGTGAATTCACACATTATCAAACATGTGACCTTAATATCCCTTACTATGATTAAAAAGAAAGAGTCAGTGCACCCGTTATCAGTCTAGATAAGGACAGTAATAGAATAGCCCTCGATAACATAGTAGGTAATGGAAACCTTAACACACCTTAGGGAATCCTACCTAAAAAAAGAAAGAAAAAAAAACGTGCATATAGCCTTTTTTTTTTTATTACAAACAGTCAATATGTGAGTTTTCATGTATATATTTATTCATACACGAACGTCTATGCATATATGAGGGTATGTGCGTACAAATGTTTACATACTTATTACACCTTTGAACGCGCAGACTCTCATACGCATATGTGTACTTTGCATAAGCAATTCTATGAACTTGTATCTAAATGTATGTAACTATATCCATGAATTTAATTATATTTGTCTGTCTATTGTATAAAGTCGCGTAACGGGACACGAGTACATCAAAATCAATGAAGTGTGAATAGGCTCGTCGGCCATTATTTGTCTCTTTGTCCGCGCTCAACCTTGCTACATCAAATAAATACATATATTCATGGGGGTTTAGCCTTCATTTTTTGCTTCCTTTTCTGTCTAGCTATTAGTCTTTTCTTTTCCTTTGTTTCTCTCTTTTATTCGCGCCTTTATCTCTTGTTCTAGATATAGATTCTTTGTTTGAGATTTTTGTTTTGACGATTGCGCACGACCGGTGTCTTTTGTTCTCGTCGTTTGTGAATGTTTGCTGTATTCTCTCATTCTTTATATTTCTTTATCTGTCGGTCTGTTGGTGCATTTTAGCATGTGATAAGTCTCTCTCTCTCTATGTATCTATTTATCTATCTATATCTCTCTCTCCTCTCTCCTCTTCCCTCTCCCTCTCCCTCTCCCTCTCCCTCTCCTCTCCTCTCTCTCTCTCTCCTCTCTCTCTCCCCCCCCTTTCCCTCCCTCCTCTATCCTCTCTCCTCCCCCTTTCCCTCCCTCCTCAATCCTCTCCCCACCCCACCTTCCCTATACTACCCCTCCTCCTCCAAACAAAACCAAAACAAAATGCGTCCCTTTAACAGCCATCCACAACCAACCGAACCAAACAAGCAAAATCTACATCCGGTAATTATTAACAGTCTTTTTCCCGCCGCCACGGGAGACTCCACCGGTGGCGGGAACTGTGACGTAGCGGTAAGGAAACCGACATGTTTTGTACAGAAGTTTTTTTTTTTTATTATAGGTCACGTTGCATGCGTATGTTGTCTTGTTGAGGGTTTCTGATCTCTCTTCTCTCTCTCGTTTTCTCTCATTCTCTTTATTTTTTCTCTTATTCTATGTCTCTTGTCTTTTTCTCTTTGCTTGTCTTTTTGTCTTTGTATCTCTCTTCTCTCTCTCTCTCTCTCTCTCTCTCTCTTCTCTCTCTCTCTCTCTCTCTCTCTCTCTCTCTCTCTCTCTCTCTCTCTCTCTCTCTCTCTCTCTCTGCATATTCTTTAGCGTAACTACGCACTCATGAATGAATATAGTAAACACACTGAGTTCTATTAAAGATAAAAAGATAAGAAAAGTAGAAATGAGACAGAAAGAAAGAAAAAGAAAGAAAGAGAGCGAGAGAGAGAGAGAGAGAGAGAGAGAGAGAGAGAGAGAGAGAGAGAGAAGAGAGAGAGAGAGAGAGAGAGAGAGAGAGGAGAGAGAGAGAGAGAGAGAGACAACCGTGCAAGTCGATTTTACGCTGACGTTTGCAAATGTTTATTCCGTGACAAACTTGAATTCTCGGTTCTCTATCGATGCTTGCAAGACGTGCTTTGAACAGGTGCCATGGCGAGGGAAGGGGGTAGGGGGGGGGTGAGGAGTGCAAACCCACGCTATGGGTCCGTTCACTTATATCAAAGAAAATATTCATATTCATATTTTTTTTCGAGTGTTTTTCTTGTACTGTGTATTAAGTTGGCCTATATTGCACCTCTTCTACTTTACCTTATTCACTTCTAATCCGTTCATCTATATTCACTCTTTTCACTCTTAATATCACCCAGTCACCAATGTATTTCCCTTTACACTTACTTTACTGTTACTGCCCTTACTGTCACTTCATCCACACTCATAATATCCTACATTCACTCTTATCCTGTCCCCCTATCATTTATCCCTTTCACCCTATATTCATGCTATTTACCTTCTTCACGCTTTCACTCTGCGGTGACCCCGGCCATTCCTTGCACACACAGGGTAATTTAGAAGCAAATATACAGACAGCATATCACAGCAAAGAAAAAAAATAAAAAAATGAAAAAGAAAAAAAGAAAAAGGAAAAAAAAAAGAAAGAAAAAAATATATATCATTGTAACAAATGGAATTCAAACTAAATTATAAATCATAATCATAAAAGTTATATTTAACAGTTATATTATTTCTGCCAGCCTTCCACTTTACCTTTACCTTTCACGTTTATTTAAATGTGCAGTTTTGTACAAAATACGCATTTGTCATTAATGCATAAACTGTGACTATGCTCGTAGACCGTTTTTCACCCTAAACCAAACGCAAATGCACCCTTATGTCCCAGTGAACTATTACCTAACCTCACTCTTGTTTCTATACGAATTCTTGATGATAGTTACTGTTATTTTGTCTAAAGAGTTATTTTATAGAGTTATTTTAACTAAATTTTGCTTCAACGGGCCTTCGTAAGGGATCGTTACTCTAAAAGACTCCAGCCATATTACCTTTAACATGCTTTATAAATGTAAACATAAATGTACATTACTTAGCTAAACAGAAGCATGTGATTCTGATTCTTTCTTTGCACCCTACGCATCATCCCTTCTTTTTTAACTTCTCCTAAATCCTCTTTAACGTTATATAAAATGAAAATAAACTTTTCGTTATTTTGTTGTTATGGTGATTTGTTCGTATGTTTGTTTCCATTTATATAACGCTACGTGGCCTCGATACAGAGCGGGGTATTATCTCTGACGTCATCAGTGAGGGGTTGGAAAAAAGGGAAAGGGGGGGGAAGAGAAAAAGAAAGAGGAGGTGGAAAGGAGGAGGAGAAAGAAGAAGAAGAGGAGGAGGAGGAGAGGAGAAGAGGAGAGGAGGAGGAGGAGGAGAGAGGAGAGAGAGGAAGAAGAGAGAGAGAGGAGAGGAGGAAGAAGAGGCAAGAAGAGGAAGAAGAAGAAAGAGGAGGAGGAAGAAAAGAAAAGAAAGAAGGAGAGGAGGTGGTGGGGGGAGAAGAAGGAGGATGGGAGGAGGAGATGAAACATTAGAAGAAAAAGACGAATGAGAAGAAGAAAAGGATATGGATGGAGAGGGTGAGAGTGGATGGGAAAAATGGAAAGGGAGAGAGAAGATTCTTACAGGGAGGGAGAGAGAGGGAGAGAGAGAGAGAGAGAAGAGAGAGGAGAGAGAGAGAGAGAGAGAGAGAGAGAAAGAGAGAGAGAGAGAGTCGGACAAAGAGCTCAGCAGGAAAACAAACACAAACAGAAAAAAAATAACGCAAAACAGCATAAGAAAAACAGCGAGAGAAAACCCAACATAGAGAGCAGGATGGTAACTCCCTTAGACGAGATGCCTTCGAGATGAGAGACTCGGTGAGAGTTCGAGTGTTGCTGATTCCCACTTTTTGGTCAACAACATCTCCCCTTATTTCGCGTTTAGTCCGGGCCCTTAGAGTACAGTTAGGGTGTTCTTGTACAAAAAAAATGTCTACATGTATTTAGAGTTGTGTACATGAACGTAGGAAGGTTATCCGTGGTAGGCGTTGAAGATAAGGACTTACGTCTCTATGTAAGTGAATCTAAAATGGCCGCCATGGAGTTCTTTGATAGTGCCTGGACTTCTTTTAAAAATAGATCATGGGTGATGGGTATTTTAGAGGTTCTTTGACTCAAATTAACCAAATCTGTATTTCTATTTGTCTCAGACACACAATACTCAAGTATTACATACACATTACTCATTATTCACACAGTCTGCAAGTATCGGAAGGATGTCCTGTTATTTTTGAGATTGTTGAGTTGGGAAAACATAAGCTAAACTAAATAAACTGAAGAAATAGATAAACGGAAGAAAATAAGTCCTAAATGATCGATAACATAAGCTAAACTAAATAAACTGAACAAATAAATAAACGGAAGAAAATAAGTCCTAAACGAAAATCTCACTGCTGATGGTTAAAAGCTTGTGGCGCTCAACTCACAGGGGCCTTTGGAACAAGGAGTCATCACATCTCCCTCTCGGTCCGTGGAGCCGGCAAAGACCCTGATGTTTCAGAGTCATGCGATCAGGTGACGATGGCAATCACAAACAACGTCAGACACAGTATCATTCTGACAATTGCGACCCGTTATTTAGCCGTTCGTCCAGTTCTGCCGAGGAAAGAAAGACTCGCTGTAAAAGAAAATTATTCCTTTTAATAAAACAAGACGCAATATAGATTTCTTTGACTCGGAAATTAGCAAAAACCACTAACTTTGACAGATCGGCGAAGCAGCAAATCTGATATTCTGGAATGCATCATACATGTCGATCCAGATAAGCCACGGGTGTGCTACATACGGCGGCCATGTTCATGTCGTGCAACCTACGTCAGCAATAGCATTTGCTGAGAGTTACACTATGCATGATGCTATTCTTGGCGCCACAGATAACCCCGGCAGTTGAGCAGATTGATGCCATATGGGATAACTGCCTAGAATACAGCCCCCAACCCTTAACCCAACCAGCGCTTCGATACAGGTCCGTGGGTTAGATAAGGGCGTGGCCACAGGCGAATCCCGAAGCGTGGCTGAATCCATGAATGCCTGAAAACGAAGCATAACGGGAAGGTATTACTAGTTTTCGTCGGTAAAGAAATTGCCTTGAAAGATTTATGCGGGACACTTTTTTTGCACCAATCTGGAGAGTGGCATATCGGCTCTCCACTCTAGAGCAACTTCAGGAATATTTCTTCGTCTACCACATACTGTAACACAGGGTCGCCAGTTAGCTCATGTTTGTGCCGTTAGCATTGATGTGGCGGTCCTTACTTTACTTTGCTCTGCACTTGGCTTTGCAGGGATATGGTTATGGGATTTTTTTCTCTATATCCCTTGCCATGGTATCTTCTTAAACGTTTTCAGTGTTACGGATTAGTCAAGTTTGTGAATATGATATTACGTTTTGTCAGAAAGGTATAGCTCACATTAATAATTTGGTTATTTATTTGTAAAAGTTCAAGTGACGTCTCTTTGGTAGAGCGCTCCAGGCGCCATGGACTGAAGCGCTTGAGCAAATTAGGTCAGTTCAGCTCCACTAAACCAGGTCGAGTTAGGTCATTGGCCGGTGGCGTGATTAGTCATGGTCCGTCGCGTATCTGTTCTGGAGGCGACATCCCAGAGGTCAAAGCTTGCTACGAGGACACAAGGCTTCCTTGAGCGCGGCCTCTCTGCTGCGCCATTGTTTGTCAAGCCAGGGGCGTGTCTTGTCTATGCTCGCCCTGGCATTTGCTTTCAAATAAAGGCCAACGGAATGGCCATACCTTGACGAAGGCCACCAAGTGACATTGGCCGGGAAGGCTCTTTAACGACAACGCAAGGCCCTTGGGTTCAGTCGAGTCTTGTAGCGAAGATGAGGCAGCAGCCCCAGGCCGTCTCGGAAGATATGGCTGCCAGCCAGGCGCAGTTCCAGGCACAGCTGTAGGACAAACTGAATTTTGTGGCGTGAACTTGCCAGTACCGTAACAGGCCGGGGTGAGTACTCTCCAGGCTATACCTCCGGCCGTGGACCCGCAAGTGAGCCTGCAGCAGAAGTTGAACGTCAGCTACAGGAAAATGTCAGCGACACGGCCGATTCCGCAGCCACCCCGCGGGGACACCTATCGTTCGTATCCTAACAGGACCGGATCCTGGGGTTTAGAGAAGAGTTCATCAACACGAGGATGTCTACTCTGGTCCTTCCTCGCGGGCGTTCCCAACACACCCGCCCTCACAGCGACTCCCAGGACGGACAATGGGATGCCCTGCGAGAGCGTCCAGGCCCCGTCGGGTCGCCTTCCCCAGGACGCGAGGAAGCACGAGCGAGCGGTGCGCTCCGCCGCTTCCCGAGGCTCGCTCCGGGGGGCAGAGC